TTTATATAATTTAATTTAAGTTTAATAATAAAAGAATTTCTTTTTGGTTTAATATTATAAATTTTATAAAGATAATAATTAAGTATTCTGTTACAATTTAATGATTATACTAATTATATTTTAGATTTTTTATATTTAAAATGAGATATTTATCTTGTATTTGATTGTGTTTATCTGCAATTAGTTACACGAATTCAGATATATATGGGATGAAATCGGATAAGGATGAACGGGTTTAAGAGTTTTAAGAGTTTTTAAGAGTTTTAGTCAAATGCTTTATAATATAGTATATATATATATATGGGTCTAATCAATTAAGAACTGTTTTGTTTGTGGTAACCGTAAGATCCAATTTCAACCACAAATTAAAGATTAAATTAGAAAATTAATAATTTTGTTAATTTTGACTTAAAATATTAATTAAGAGCATTTTAGAGATTTTATAAATATCATCTCTCATCTCACCTCTTTCTTCTTTCCGGCGAATCTTATTCGGTAAATCTTATTCCAATGAACCTTATGTGAACACAAAATAGACATTATGATACCTACAAATGATATTCACTGTGATACCCAGATATACATAGAAAATGCACAATGTGATACATTTTGTAAAACAATGAAAATAACAAAAATGTATACTACGATACAATTCATAAAACAAAGAAAATGTATTGTGATACACATGAAACATTGTGAAGTTATCATTATAATACATTTTAATTCACAAACATATTTAAAATACGATGTATATTATATAATTAATATACTAGGTGGTTAATTTTAATTGAATAATTTCTTCTAAACAATTTAATTAAATATTTTCTTCTAAAAAATTTAATTAAATATTTTGATTAGTTGTTAAAAGTAAAATTACTATATTACTCTTTTAGTTTATTTAAGAATATCCATAAATAATTCAAACAAGTGATTCACATTGGATCTCACGATTACCACAAAAGAAATATTATATGAAACAATTTCATCAGATTAAACAATTTTGCATGGTTTATACAAATATGGGTTGTGTTGCATTTGATCGCTCTTTTATATATATATATATATATATATATATATATATATATCTATAGAGGAGCGATCAAATGAAAACCACTCCAATTTGTAAAAACTACTCTCATTCGTCGATTTCATTGTTTAATTTTATAAAAAAATTTCATGAAATTGTTTAATCTTGTGAAATTGTTTCATATAATACTTTTTTTGATGAAGTTGTTTCATATATGGTTATGAAATTGTTTCATATACTACTTAATGAAACTGTTTCATGTATTTCTCTAAAATTAAAATAATGAAGATGATAATATCCATGATTAACATTATCCACAA